ATGGCGGAGTTTGATAGGTTGAAGATGGATGATAATGATACGGTCGATGACTTTGCTGAGAAGATATCGGCCATATCATCCAAAGCAGCCTCGTTGAGTACTACTGTTAGACTTGTTTACCATCGCATTATGTTCTTTTTAGGGCCTGATTGGTTCTCCCGCCATCAGCCGTAAACGCAGCTTTTGCGGTTGGTAGCGGTTGTTGGCGTTTTGCAACAATCACAGAAAACGCTATAAACCGCTTCAAATCGCTCTGAATCTCTAAAATTCAAAAGCTGGTTCCAGCTAACATTTGCGGTTGCGAGCGATTGCGGGAGGATAACAAATATTTTTTTCTCCAAAAAACTATATAAACATAAAAATAAAATATTCAATTGAAATTTAAATTAAAATAATTTAAATACTGAAATATTTATATTATAAAATTTCCAAAAAAAATATTTTCTTTAATTTTTAAAAATTTAATAGTGCAGTTTTTCAACAAAAAAATTATATTTATCATGAAAATATAACTTTAATATTTTGATAATTATATAAAATATAAATATTGTTAATTTATTACTTAACCACTGTTGTATTTGATGATAAACCAGTCATAAGTATCCCGCAAACGCAACAATTTTTAACCGTTGAACGAGTCGTATAAATCTCTTACTAACGCTTAAAAACGCAATCTCCCGCATCCGGAAACTCCCGCAACCGCAACCGCAATCGCTGTGTTGTAATCAGCCAGACCCTTAATATATTTACTAGGTGGTAATACACCATGCGCAGAGTGAATGAATTAAAATAAGAGTTATAATCATAAATAATACGTGTTATATAGTGAAAAATATAAAAAAATTACACATGTTTATATAAGATAAACTTCAATTTATTAAAAACTTGCGTTATTGGTTAGATTTACTGAAATATAGTCCATAGAAGTAAATCTATAAGCGTAAGCAAACATTTATATAAAATTAATTATAACTTAAGAAACAACGAAAATAGGCAATAAATTTATTGATTTTTAAAAGAAATTATGAATATAAGATAAAAAACATGTGTAATAAAATAATAAAATATGAAAGGAACAAATTAAAAAGAAACAAATAAAAAATGAAAAAACTATTTCAATGGTCTCTTAATTGGGCTCCGCTAAAATCGCAAAATCATGTTTTTCCGCCACCTAAAATCATGTTTAACACTATTTATATTAATTGGGCTCCGAAAAAAGCCCATTTAAATGGTCTATTTTGGGTTTAGACAAAGATGTTGGGTTGATGGGTCAACCATTAACCCATCTGACCCATATAATTTAATGGGTCATGGGTCAATCCAACCTATTTATTAAACAGTTTGGGTTGACCTATGACCCATTAACAGTCAACCCATTTGGGTTATAGGTTGGGTTGACCCATTTGATCCATTTTGATACCCCTAAGAGTAACCAAGTACTGTTTCCAAAGTCTTATAACTTTCATCTTAACCTTATACATAGGCTTCTTTGACTTTAAGCCATAGATGAAATTCATGACACTCATTTTCTTTCCTAGTTTAAAATTTGTAAATTGTGTTACCTTAAGTTAAAGTTTAGTACTCCCTCCGTTTCAATGTACATGTCATTATAGAATAAAATTTATATTTTAAAATAAGTGTGGTTTTATAATTTTAATGCAAAATTTATTAATTTTATATGATATTCTATTTTTATTGGTTGAAAATTGGTTAGGTGTATAAGTAATTTTGTTTTTATCTTGAAAATATATAAAGTTAAATGTTTACTTAATCTGTATGCAAAAATTTAAAATGACAACTAAAATGAAATGGAGGGAGTATGATATATATATAGTCATAACTTATAGGGTTTAGGTCACAAGAATTGAGTCAATCAAATATTCCATCCCGAGATTAATGGAAAAATTTTGTGTATAATTTTTAATTGATCATAAAAATTATGTATAAATTAATAGTAACTTTCGTATATTAACCGAAAAAGATTGCATTATGTCGATTGCATATATTAGTTGCCAATAATTTATTTGCTTTCATAAATTACGGTTAAATATAAAATTATAAAAATGAATTAAGTTAATATAGGAAACTAATATTATTGTCTGATGATATTTAAACACAACATCAATCCCCCCCCCCCCCCATTTATTTAAATTTTAGGGTTGATTCCCCATTTATTTATTTGCACTATATAATGGTTGAGGTTGGAAATCAAATTAAATCTAGAGAGAGTATTCCCTTTGAATTATATAATGATTAAGCGGGTAAGCTCCTCAAACCAAATTTTGTCATAGTTAATTCCTCAAACCAAATTTTGTCATAGTTAATTAAATTAATATATTGATGGTGATTATATTTACATATTATGTTCGCATGTGGTTGAGCCAATAGTAAGTTTATATTATTGAAGTATTGATGTGTATTTTCATTTGAGTTAATATAGATTTTTTGATATGAATTCGGAGTTAACTAATATTTCTAAGATCAATGTAGATTGATTCTTGCACAAGAGATGCTATATTCATTTCCTAAATTTTAGCTTGCCCATAATTAAGACTATATTTATGGGATCAACAATATTTGTTATAAATCCGTACTATAAAATATTCAAATTTTATAGTTATAATATCTATCATTATGATATTTTCAAAATCCATATATGACTATAATCCATAAGTGAATAGTGACATTATATTGTTTTATATTCACCTAATTTCTGAATAGATAACATATGTTTACACCAGATTATATTATATTATAATATAAATGTTAGTAAATATAATGCATTTTAGGGGAGTTCATCCAAATAATATATATACATATTATTTTAAAATAAACAAAAATGCTATAGTAAAATTATAAAACTTAGCTATATGTATATATATATATATATATATATATATAGGGCGAATTATAATATTAGAAATTATCCTACATCTCATGAATCAATAAACTTAGGTATTTCAACATTTAAATGACAATTTAGAGGTTCATTTATAAATGGTTGAAACATAGCTATATATATGTATATATCTATATATAATTATATATATGTTACAGAAAATTATAAAACTTAGCTATATGTATATATATATATATATAGGGCGAATTATAATATTAGAAATTATCGTACATCTCATGAATCAATAAACTTAGGTATTTCAACATTTAAATGAAAATTTAGAGGTTCATTTATAAATGGTTATTGGTAATGTAATGTAACATTATATCATAAGAAAACATTGGTTTAATGACATTTAATTTTAAATACTCTAGTAAATTATGTCCATTTTTTTAAATGAGCTGAGAATGATTGTAAGGTTGCCACTTAAATAATGGCAATTTTATTAATCACACATAAAAATAGGGTTATTCTTTAAAAATATTCTCTTTTAATATATAAGGGATTTTGTAGTTCTAGGAGAGATATAATAGTTTCTATAGAGGTGGGTCTGGTGTAGACACAGTTTCAAAGAACAAATAAACTTTTATCTTTTGTAAAAGGTTACCAATATATTAATATAAAAATAAGAAAATTCGCTGGTAAGAGAAAAATAATTTCTAACTATTTTATTTTGACGTCCACAAAGTAGTTAAAAGGTTCTTCACATTATAAATGCAGTAATTTCTTGGATAATCAAGATTTATTTCAATAACTTATTGAAACCAACTTCCTGAAAAAGATAGATTTAATCGAATCTTGTTCAAAAAATTTCAAAATAGATGAATTGGATCAAATTTCTTTCAAAGTATAAAGCAAAAACTAGTTTATTAATTATCAAAATCTAAATAAAACCATGCCTAAGAAGCTATTTATATAAAACATAAAAGCTATGAAAACCTTAATCCTAATTAAAATAGGAAAACTATTAAAAAAAGATAATACAAATAAATGGTAATTATCCAAATTCTATGCTGCAACAAATTTTTACACTAAATAATGTGGTTGGCTAGTGCTAGGAAATCAAGATTGCAATCGAGTTTTGGTTCGGGTTCATTCGGGTCTCGAGTTCATGAATTTATGTCCCTTTCGGATATTATATAAATTTGGGTCGGATTCGGTTCGAGTTAATCGGGTTTAGTTCGAGTTTAGTTACATATCCAAGATCCGGTTTAACCCAGAATAGTTTGTGTTTTGAATATTAATCGGGTTATCGGTTCTAAATACTAAATTTATACTTGATTAAACTCAATATAATTTCAATTATTTCAAAAAATTTAGGTATTTAGCTTCCTCAAACTATATTGTTGTCCCTCAAAATAATTTTTTGAAACTCGTCTATCAACCATACGAGACTTGTCGTTTACAATATGTGACAACATGATGAAAGTTTTGTACGAATAGAAATCATACATAGTTAAACATATAAAATAAAGTTAACAACTAACAATTATATAAACGTAAGAAACAATATTTAAACATTTTCAAAAACATCATTGTTTAAATTTCAAAATAAATTTATTCATAATTAAATCTCAAATGCAATGTCAAACATAACAGACAGTAATAATAGCATTAATATTTGAGTTAATAATTCATGTAATAACTAACTATTTTAGTATTTAATAATATTTTATTGTGTTTTGGATACATATTAGAAATAATATTAGATATACCAAGGTTTTCTTAGAATTTTAAAGTTTCAGTTTTTTTCGAATATCCATATAAGTTCGGGTTAAACCCATAACTCGAAATACCATTACAAAATTCATTCGATATTTATGTTAGATTTATATCAATTTGGATTCACTTTTATTGGGTTGGGTTCAGTTCAGATTTTTGGTCCAGTTTATTTGTTCAGCTCTAGCTTGACTCTAGAAATGTGAATGGAGGACGGTAATAAAGAAAATAAAATGATGGGAAACAAATGTAGAAGAAACTGAGAAAATAAAATAAATATAAAAAATGGAAAAGCAGTAACTTGGTAAGATTCCAAAATCGAAATTTCACCCAAAAAAAGGGACAATCTTGGCAGCCACGCCATTGCTTTCTTTAAAACGTTATGGAAGATCTGAAGTTTGGGTTCGCTTTGGTGGTATCGTTCAAGAATGTATCGACTTCTCTCCAAGCTCTCTCCCACCGTAAGCTAAGCTCTTTATTGCTCTTAGATGTTTGGCTCATACGCTCGATTATTTTATTTTAGTAGAAGTTTTTTTTACCGAAAGAAAGAAACAAGGATAATGATGATAGGAGGGCTGAGATTGAACTATGCGTTAGAGAAGAGAATTGACTTTTGAGTTGCTTAATTGCTACTTGGCAGATGCACAAGAGAAAGAGCGTTCGTTCGTTTTCATCCTCCATAACAGGTCCGTTTATGTCGCTAAGTGTAAGTGCGAAACCCTCGCCGGGTGGCGTCAACATAGGAGAAGTGATGTTGTTCGACCCCGCCAAAGAAGAGCTACTCGAACTAACGGACAAAATAATTCCTGAAGAAATAATTATGACCAAAGTAACAGGAGCTTCCAAGGGATGGGGATTTTTCTGTGACCCACAAGATCGCTGCGTACTCGTCACCGACGTAATGAACCCATGGTCTTGCAAATCAAACCCAAAGCTCTTTACTCTGCCTCCGCTTACTCCTTTGCTCTCTTGCCAAGCAGATGTGGTCTGGAGTGTGGCAATGTCCTCTTGTCCTGATGATGACGAAGACTGGGTGGTTGGTATCAAGTCCTTGGGTGATCAGCTTAGCTTCTGCAGGCCCCGTCGTGATTTGCGTTGGACTAAGATCACAACCCCTTCTGACTTCTTTCCAATGTCAAATCTCATGTATTCCAAGAAAGACCGGAAGTTCTACTTGATTGGTCCGGGAGGCCACCACATGTTATCCTATGATCTCCCTTTCAAGAAAGCCGAGTTCCACGAGTTGCAGTTTCGCAACTTTCCAGAAGCGTTCAAGTATGACTCGGAGCAATCGGAGCTGTTTCCTTCTTCCTGCAGGATGGAACGCCTTGTGGAGTCTTCTTCCGGAGATGAACGTTTCCTCGTCAAATGGTATTACTACTACTACTAGCCTAGTAGTAACCATATAAACTCATGAATATACATTATTTGATGAAACCATTGGTCGTGCATACAGGTATGCTAAGGGATGTTCGGATTCGAGAAATATCTCGTATGAAACACAGCGTATCATGGTGTTTAGAGAGGAGGAGACTACAGAGGGAAGATTCATGTGTTACACTGATGACATTGGAGATATGTGCATCTTCGTTTCAAAGGGAGAGTCCTTTTGCGTCCCGGCAAGCTCTTTCCCTAGACTCAAACCAAACTCTATCTATTTTATAGGCTTTGGCGTAGGTGTTTACGATCTAACTACCAGAACCACCTCTAGTTTTCAGGCTCCCAAAGGTGCACTGAATAATCTTTGGGCTCCTTATTGGTTTCCTCCATCTTCTGGGAACTAGTGGTGCTACAATAATTGGTTTGTTTCTGTCTTCACTCTTTATACATATATCGACTTGCTAAGATCTATGTTTCCCCACTTGGAAGAAATTTTGAGTTCATGTGGTCAATGGATAATAATAGTTCTTTCTTTTATATATATTACTTCATATACACAGTCCATTTAGTTTGTTCTTACACACTACTCCTAAAACAATCCTTAGTTTGTCATCTAACCATCTCTCCAACCTCACAATATTACTTGGAGAGAAAAACTAATTTACCACAAAGTATGTTTACCCTTCCCAACGACAGCAAAAAAAATGTCTAATATCAGTTTACCCATATCTGGTCAATTGATTTCCATGAAAGGGCTGTGAGATTTTAATAAGAATGGTGATAAGATGACTCTTCAACGAAGTAACAGTGAATGAAGCGACAATGAAGGAGTCTAATTTGGCGGGTCACATGTATGAATATTAATGTCTGAAAATTTGGACGGATGAAGACTTGAGACCAGAAAAAAACCAAGAATCAGATCACACAATGTGAAAAGTTGTTAATGTAAAAGAAATAATATAGTCTTATTAATTATTCATCTCTATTTGGTTTAAAATGATTATCTTAAACAATAGTGTGGATTAAACCAGTGTATTTGATTATTCAATACCATTCGCCTGATTGGTTACATATTCAATCAATTTGCCCAGTGTAGACAACACTTTGCAGTTGTGTATCCCAACATAGATCCATTTTCATTTAGTTTACGGCACTGAGTTGAGAGAAAAAGAGTCATTTGATTAATGGTAAATCATACAAAGGACTTGCAAGTTTACATCTAGAAACCTCTCTTTCTCTAACACTCACACGAAGCAAAGACTGAAGCAAATAACAGATAAAACTTGGCTCACTTTCCAGGAACGAAGTTGGTGGCAAAGGCCCATGCATTGTTGTTGACTGGATCGGCCAAATGGTCAGCAAGGTTCTCCAACGGTCCCTTACCAGTGACGATGGCTTGAACGAAGAATCCAAACATAGAGAACATAGCCAATCTTCCGTTCTTGATCTCCTTCACCTTCAACTCGGCGAAGGCTTCTGGGTCGGTAGCTAGGCCCAATGGGTCGAAGCTACCTCCTGGGTAAAGCAAGTCCTCGGCCTCTCCCAGCGGCCCATCTCCGGCAACTCTGTAACCTTCAACGGCTCCCATCAAAATCACTTGAGTAGCCCATATCGCCAAGATGCTCTGAGCGTGGACCAAGCTTGGGTTTCCCAAGTAATCAAGCCCTCCTTCGCTGAAGATCTGTGAACCTGCCTTGAACCAAACCGCCTCTCCGAACTTGACTCCGTTCCTGGCCAACAACTCCGGGAAGACGCAGCCTAGGGCTCCGAGCATGGCCCACCTGCAGTGGATAACTTCTAGCTCACGGTTCCTTGCGAATGTCTCGGGATCGGCTGAGAGACCGGCGGTGTCCCATCCGTAGTCACCGGGGAACTCTCCGGTAAGGTAGCTCGGTGGCTCGCCAGAGAATGGACCCAAGTACTTGACTCTTTCGGCTCCGTACCATGGGCTGCCTGATGGGCCCTTTGGCTTGGCTACGGTCTTCCTCATTGTCACACGGCCGCTTCCGAGGACTTCTGATGCCGTTGGAGAAAGCTTCACGGCCTTTCCGGCGAAAGCAGGGGATGAGAGAGCCATTGTTGAAGAGGCCATTGCGGTTGCGTAAAAGTAAAACGTTTATAAGTTGTTGTTGTGTGCCAAGAAATGGGTGGTTTGGCTTTGATGAGCCTTTTCAGTATTTATAATATTAACGTAGATGTAATATCTTATCTTACAATATCAACCTCTGGTGTTTCTATTGGCTGTTGACATATCATCTTGGTGCTTAGATTTTTTGTTTGCTTACGTGGTAATTGTGGGTCTGTTGTTAAAAATCTTGTGACGTTTGAGGAAATGGTGAAGCATCCACTCATGAAATGACACGTATACGACTTAATCTCTCTATCCTATTGAAATCCCGGGAGAATGACTCATGAGAA